ATTAGAAAAACATGAAGGAAATCTTCGACAACGGCTTGACGTACTGGAATGTTCAATGCCTGCAGTTATGGTATGGAACATTTGGCAACGTATGGCTCAAGGTGCTCCAATACCGAATCTTCAACAATTAATAGAGAAACAATTTCGAACTCCAGCAGCCGGTGAGTCTTGTTGTCCAAATACACCAAGTCAACACTATGACTGTCGAATACGCGAGGTAGAAGCTGAAAGGAAGACAGCACACAAGAGACTCGAGGAAGCTAGGATATTGTGGTTGGAGAAGGATGCCAAACTTAAGGAACGTAGAGACAAGTTGGAGGAGGCTAAAAAAATTCAAGAGGAACGTAAAGGAAAGATCGAACGTTTGACGAATGAAACGAATAAATTGAGAGAAATATTAAAGAAGATGGACGAACAATCTGAGGATGAGATGGCCGGTTTCTGCGAGTCAGGTGATCAGATTAAAAGATAAGAAAATAGAAACATACAAATTAACGGTATGAGAGATCACTTTTATGAATTTATTTCGATAGGCGAGTGCGGTGATGTACAATGTCGCGAAAGATGGCTACGCGGAGTAAGCAGCGTTGATTCTATCAAGGCCATTGACGTTGAATGTTTGGCTCGTCTTCGACAATTGGCTGAAAATGAATTAATGATGAAAAAACAAATCGCCGAATTGGAACGCAAAGAGGAAACTTATATGAGAACTCTTCAACATGCCGACGAAATGTGGTCAAAGATTGAAGGTGATACGGGTGATAGATTGAGTGCCTTGCAAGGACAACTCGATAGAGAAGCCAATGCGAATCAACAGTTGGCGTCTCGTATCCGCGAACTCGAGGATGAACTTGAGAAGCTAAGGGTAAGGATGGCCCTTTGTAAATCGGAATTGACTAAATACACGAGCGTTGAAAAGATCGAGACGATTATCGGTGGCGAGGACGATTTCGCAAAAACCACTGATAAGATGGTTGGAATCAGGCCAAAAGTAGCGGCTAAGGTTATAGGAAGAGAAGACGATCTTGCTGATGTTCTAGATAAAGAAATTCTTATAAAAGATAAGCTAGATGATAAGGAAACCTTGGCGAAAGTTGATGTTCAGGATAAAGAAGTAAGTCCTGTTATTGGCAAACCAGCAGAACCCATGGAGCCAGAGAAAATGGACGCTATGCACAAGTACTTAGCGATGTTAGGATCTTTAGAGGAATTATATTACGACGATGATTATGGCATCTGCGGTTCAGAGTTCGTGTGTTACGAAGAGAATTGGCAAGGGATTCCAACGGAGGTTGAACTTTCGACCACATATACTGGATCAACTCCAGTCATTTCGGAAAAAATCATTCCTACGGACGATATAAAAGAAGAATTAGACGAAGATATCGAAGATGATGATATTCTTATGCAATTAATAGACGGAGCAATTGTCAAAAGTGAACTCAAACATATACCCGAAGACACGAAGGAAATCGATGAGACGTTTAAAAAAGAATACGACTACGACGAGGAAGAAATTTATGAAGAAATATATGAACCCGAAGACATTTTTGAAAAAATTGATAAACCTGTAATCGGTCAAGACAATGCCATTATTCCATTGAATAAACTTCGATCATGGGTCAATACTGTTGATTCGATTCGCCTTGTTATATCGGTCCGTATAATTTTATAATGTGTTTAATTTCAAAGAAATATCATCGATCTAAATGTTTGACACTCTCTTTCAGAAATGTTCAACGTGCTCCAGCGTAAAAATGAATGCAGATAATTTGGCCGAAGAGATAGCAACGTACGCAAGGGTAAAATACAATTTTGTATATACAAAAATCAACTTGATAAGGATCGTTAAGCAAGCATTGATTAATTACTTATCATTAATTATTTGCAACATATAACTAAACTTTGTAAACGTCGATTAGGTTCAAGCTAAAGAAGTAATCACTGAAATAATACCAAAGTTAGATGCGATCGTAGAACACGTAGACAAAGAGGAACCAAAAAAAGATGTGCATGAAAGGATGGTGATTAAAGAAGAAGTTATATCAGAAGTTGTAGACGAAATACAAGAGAAAATAGAAATCAAACCAGAAACAGAAATTATCGAAGATTTGGAGAAAATAAAAATGGAAGAAATTAAAGAAGAAATACCAATGACAGATGTCGCGGAAAGTAAAGCTGAGAAACCTGTAATTGCGGTAGTACTTTCAGAAGAAGTAAAAAAAACGATCGAAGTTGAACCCACAGAAGAAGAACCTTTTTCGTTAGATTCTGATAAACCAGATATTGTTTCTGAAAAACTCAAAGAAGACGAAATAATGATGATACCTGAAGAAAAGATATTAGAAGAATCTACTGAAATTCCAATGAAAGAAGTTTTAATAGATTATGACAAGTTAGGACTTACAGAAAAATTAGAGAAGATTGAAAAAGATATCGTGGTTCAAGAGGAAATACAAGAAATAGATCAATCGGAGGAAGAAACAAAAATAATATTACCTATTCAAAAATTGCCCGACGAAGAAGAAGAGATTTTTATCCCAGAGAAAGAAGAAATTAAACACGCGGACGGTGTTGAGAAGGGCATCATTGAGGAAAGTATCGACTCAAAAGAAATAATCGATGAAATCAAAGTTGAACAAGTAATTCCTATCGAGATGAAAAAAACTGATATCGAAGATGAAATTTTAGAAAAAACGAAAGACGAAAATGATACTGAAGTTGATACGATAAGTAAAGAGGAATTAGAAACAGAAGTTAAATCGAAAATCGAGATCAAGGAAGAGACAGCGGATGAAAAATCTTTAGTAAAGTTAGAAGTAAAGGAAGTTACAGACGTAGAAGAAATATTTGTCGATGCGGAAACGAAAGAGCTGCCTGAAATATCATTGCCAACGCCATTGACAAAGGATATACAGGAAACAATAGAATTCAAAGAAGAAATACCACCAATCGAGGAAGATGTAGAACGGATAGAAGTACCGGAAAAAGTTATTGCGGAAAAAAAATTCGAGAAAATGGAAATGAAAGTGTTAGAAGAAAAACCAATAAAAATTGAAGTTAAAGAAATAGAAAAGGAAGAAATGTTATTGGAAGAAGAGATGCCGATATTAAGAAAAGTACCGGAAATAAAAGAAGAAATAGAAGAAATATCAGATAAATTTCACGTGATAGAACCTCTACCAATTTCCGTTAAAGAAGAGAAAATCAAAGAGAAACCTAAAACACCGATTGATCCTCGAATTGTAGCTAAACCGTATTTAGCTGTAGCGGACATTGAAGTAATAGAAAAAGAATCGTTCTTGGATGTTTTAATTGCAAAGGATCTACCTTGTGTGTGTAAAAAACCAGAAGAAATTAAGGTAAACAATATGTATTGTATAAACTATTTTTAAACGTTTATAAAATGTGTTTCTGGTATAAACTATTTAATTATCTATTTATTTTTATAGCTACCAGCTGTGCTATCGGCAATGCAAATTGTGATCACTCAAACTGAAATCGTTCAGACGATCATTAATAGAGGTACTCAAACAAGCACTGTTTATCCAATAAAACTAAAAATAACGGATCAAAAATCGACGGAAACAGGTGGTGATCCTGAAATATCAGAGAAAAAAATGCGTTGGCGAAAAAGACCAAAAAATAGATCAGCTGTATCGAATTTAAATGTGAGTTCTCAAACGGATAAGCCATTGTTAGTATTACGAAGCACAAGACAAGAGCCTAATTTAAATAAAAAACAACGTTTATTGTCGGACATTTTAAGATCTTTGAAATCTGATATAAATACTGAAGAAAAGGAAATTAGGTCGATAAATTACAACAACAAAATAAATGAAACATATAAATGTGATTGCTGCGTTTGTGGAAATAACAGTAGTTCTCCTAAAATATCGACTACAGTAAGATCTCGTCCGAAATTTGTGAATACGAAAATTCCGAACATGGATCAAAATATGCAAGATGAAAGATCAAGTTACAGAACATTGAAATCTAATATTACAGAAAAATTACGAACTTGCAATTTCTGTGCTCCGAACGTTTCCAAATTCAGCAAACTAGTTTGCGATCAAGAAATGTGCACTTGTTCGGCATCTAGTAGCAAAATTAAAGTTGGTATAAATTCGAAAAGAAAATATAAATCGGAGAAAAAAGATCAATCTTGTTTGGCGAAGATACCAAAGAGTAAAATACGTAGCAAGGAAAGAAAAAAGGACGATGAAATGGAATCAATTACGTGTCAAGGTAAATGCGTGAAATGTGAGGAGAATAAAATAAAAGAAAGGAAATACCACAAGGACCTAGACGACAGTCCTTCGAATTGTATTTGTACAAAAATAGAAAGAACCGAGAGCGGACGAGTATGGAAACGAGAAATTTGTGGCTGTGATGATTCTGATTAGCCACCTACTATAACGATCGACAAATAATAGGATAATAGTCAAGACAATCTTTGCAGATTGTACACTTCTTTAACTATGATATTGTAACAAGGGAAGATCATTCAATGAATCGCACGTTATAGGGAACGACGATGAGAAAGGAAAAAAATAATATGATCTTCCAAAAAGGAATTACACATTGATTCATTCGACGTTAGAATCCCAATAATAAAAGTATTCTATTTGAAGACGTAAAGAAAAGAAAAGAAAAGAAAAGAAAAGAAAAGAAATGAAAAGAAATGAAAGAAGAGAAATGTCTAAAAGAATAAGAAAAAGAATACCCAAAAGACTCATAAAGTTAGTTACTATGAAATTGTAAAAATAAGTCAAACTAGAAAAAGAAGAATAATAATAATAATGACATATTACACGTCAAGTACGTGTAGTGCATATCCTTTCAAGATTTATATTCAGGGCTCGAAGAAAATCCATGTATTTCCTATAAAATGAGAAGTAAACCGTACCAAAGATAGATGACGTACATAAAATAGACAGATTGTTCTCTTATATTCTCCTCCTTTTGCGATAAGGAGTAAGATGATATCTTAAACTCACCGAACGTTCGCCAAAGTATGTCTACGGGATCGCAGATTGTGGTAACCCCTTAACTCGCCGATACTCCCCTGCTCGGCCTGCATTCTGGCCTGCGCCGTAGCGGCAGCACTGGCAATCACGTGGTGTTGGTGCCCTGGAGCACCCGCTGTTGTGACGCTCCTGCGAGAACGCCAACCCGTTCTGCTACCACTTCCGCCGCCACTCGGCGTTGGTGATTTCTTCTGGTATGGCCTGTAAAATGAACTGTCACGAAAAAAGGAAGAAGAACAAGAAAGGAAGGAAACCTTTTTATTGATCCCATTCTTGTCGATTTTCTGACTACCCAATTTTCGAAATAATTCAAAAAAGGAGAGCCGTTTTCTTGTTGAAATTGTCCTTATTTCCTTTTTTTGATAGAATCATCATCAAAAAAATTCAATTACGTGTTGTACGTCTAATGAAGAATTTGTTTCGATTATCTGTCATGTTCTTTTTTTGTTATTTTGTTTCTTTTTTTTTATTTCCTTTATTTATACCTATATTCGAAAAAATTGTCCAAAAATTAATTGTTATTATTAAAATTCTTGTAAACTAATGTTTTACAACGGTATCGATTTGTTCAAAAATTCATACTGCTCGATGCTTTCCTTCGTTCAAACATCCGCAATGAAAAGAACAATTTAACGATTTTTTGCGCAATGACCGAGAAAAATGGTACAACTTTTGCATTTCACTAACGTTAACTTTACATCCACGAAATGGCGAATGGTCGATCTGAAAGCTCGTTATCTGCAAGGCTAACGTTTAAAGCTAGCTCTGTTCATGAATAACACCTAGACTCAATAAAACGATGTAATGTAACGTTAGATACTCACTTTCTGTCTCTCTCTCTCTCTCTCTCTCTCTCTCTCTCTCTCTCTCTCTCTCTCTTTCTCTTTCTCTCCCACGTTCTTGTTTATTTCTGTTAGTACTCCCGTAGGAAAAGATGTTGTAGTTGCATCAAAAAAAATATCTTTCGAAACTGGAATATCTAGCACAGTGCCTACTACAAATAATAAATAAACGTTACGTACTATTCTCTCTCTCTCTCTTTCTTATGGTAGAAATTGTATTTCCGTTTTACGAATACTTCTCTCCATCTGCGAGTATACTAGTATTACCTTCCAAACAAATTCAACTATACAAGATGAAATCATATCATATTTTTATTTACATCGAATATAACGTTGAATCGAGATATATTTTCTACTTTGCAGAAATTTGATCTGCCTTTTCTCTCTCTCTCTCTCTCTTTCTTTCTCTCTCTATTTCTCTCATCTCTTCTTTTTGAGTCGTTCAACAAAGTCTTATACGAAAAATAACATTGATCCTGTATGTCTATGAAAAAAGAAAAAGAAAATATACATAAGTTGTATATATGTTCCAAATAAAAGTGGAACTGAAAAGAAGGGATATATATCGAAATACAAATTTTTTTTCTCATTTGAATATATTATTAATAACGTAATTTATTTTTAAATCAAAATTTCTCTTCTATTCTTCTTCGACACAATAATAACTAATTCTATAATAATAATAATAATAATAATAATAATTGATAGAAGATCAATTTTTATTCATTTATTTTCTCAATTTACATGATCTAGTTTACTTTGATCTTATGCTTCTCTTTGTGTGTCCTTAATGCTAATGCATATCATGTATGTAATAATTAAAACACGTGTCAGAAGTTTACAAAGACATTGATCAAACGCTTCTTGAGCATAAAGAACTCTTATGAATATTTATATTTCTTCAAAATAATATTAACGTTAAACAAATCACACATGTAATGGTTTATGATGTATTATAATATACAAAAAATAAGTTCAATCAAAATACGTTGAAAATCGTACGTATAATTAGGACAATATTATATGAATACTTCGTGGAACGTAAAATTTTCAATTATTTGAACGGTTCATAAAAGCCCAGAGAATATCGATCATCGATATTATCGATATTTTCCTATCATTTTCATCGTAAAATATTTTTCTCAATTACGAGAGTTCGTAGCAATTACGTGTATAATACTCTTGAAATGCTTTTGGAAAAATGAATATTATGCATTTTACGTATAAATGATAGAGTTATGAATTTACATATTAAATGTAAGCAAATTTTCAAATTAGCATTCGGGAATAAATTCAATAAGTATATGTAAATCTGTAATAGATCAATCTATCTATCTATCACGAAATTTTAATCTTAAATATTCCTATAAACAATCTCGATATTCATCTAATAATGTAAATAACATACAAGTCAATAAGCATAATCAAGGTACATAGCTATTTATGGCATTCTATTCGGCGTAACGGTACAAATAGAAACTGCAAATAGAATATTTATTAGACTGCATAATATCAAGTAAATTTAATTAAATTACATTCGCGAAATCGATCAGAAATTACAATTAGTTATCATATTTATAAAAGCTACTTTTCCACTAATTTTATATCGTAATTACGAATTTGGCCGTATTTTAATAAATAAAGGAAACAAGCGGATAATATTTCAATATTTCAATGCATTGTTCACAATTGGATTATCGATTTATTTTCACATTTATTCATCAACGTTTTATGGATTGCTTTAAATTACTAACAGCTTTATAAACACAATCATTATTAAGAACTCGAATAAAACAAAAATATAATACATAAAAGAAAAAAAAAAGAAAAAGAAAGAAAAACAAAATAAATGCAACAACGTTACGAGCTTTTACAATAAATCAACAAACTTTCCAGTCCAATTTAATTTAGAAGCTTCACATAGCTTCGATGCTAACGTAATCAGAAGTACTATAAAATAGAAGACAAATTGTAGTGACGGGTAACGTTACACTGATTACACACGTTAAACTCGCTAAAATAAAAGACATATCTTATTCTCCATAAAAGCCGTCAGTCAGTTAATTAGTTTCAATTTGTTTTTATTTAACGGTAAAGCTTCTATTGAACAAACAACTAAATTACATAGCTGACATTACTTACGTATAAATACAAATACGCGCAATGGAAAAACTTTGGCTACTACTCAGCTGGTAAAATTCATGCTTCAACGGCAATAAAATTTTATGGGAATCCATAAAAACGGTCATCCTGTATTTCTACAAATAACAACGAACACTGTCGATTAGATTTGTCTTGTTAAAATAAACATCGTAAAATTATCGATACGTATAAACAACAAGCAAGTTTAAGCAACCAGAATCTATTTTATCACGAATATATGATCGTATTTATGTATATTATCAAAAGTCATATCGCGAACCTATTATATATTTGATCATGTGAAAAAGAAACCTCTCATAAAACTTTCTTCTATATTTCTTTCTCTCTCTCTCTCTCTCTCTCTCTCTCTCTCTTATATTTCATATCCTTTTTAAATCTCTATCCGATGCTATTACAAGTTAAAATAGCTTGTGCTTACGTAAGTTCTAAAAAAGGGAGACACTGAGAAAGAAAGAGAGAGAGAGAGAGAAGAGAAAGAAAGAGTTGGCATGAAAGTTCTTTGACTGAAACGAAAGACACGATGACGAATACATACTTAAAGAATAAACTAAGAAGAAACATAACTTTTTGTATAAAACCCGATAAGAAACTTATTTTTCTTTAAACTTATGACCTTTTTAAAAAGAAAAAAAAAAAAGAAAAAAAAAAGTAAAATAAACGATGCCGCACATAATTAAAATTAATACCCAATTTGGCAAGAAAATCGTCTGACCTTTTTTTGGAATTAATTCGATGACGGCTACGAAGCCGTCGAGATTTTGATATTGACCTTATTTACAAAACCGTGATGATGATCATCAAGCTTAAGCGTAATTTCAAAGATAACGAAGTATAACGCGAGATGTCTAATGGCGAGTTTAAATCAAAGTTTAAAGCCAAAGATGAAAAATGGAATCTGCTAAAACCGACGACGTGAAATAAAAAGAGAAGGATATATAGAGAAAGTAAAAGCTAGTTTGAAAAACATTAAAAATTATATATTTCAAAGAGTTGAGATAGTAACCAACGTAAGCGTTGCTTTTACGGTTTAAACTAGATTTTCTACTAACTATGTATACAAATGAATACTTCGTGCTCTACAAAATGTGAGAGATGCTTCGATCAAGGAAAAAGATGTTATTTCTTTCAACTCTACTCATACGTAGTCTATATAACCACTATTTATATTACATTACTGATGTAACATCCATTGGAATAACCCTATTATTACGAATGTGATTTTATGTAATGTTAAATTTATTTTTTATTTTCTGTTTTTCATTTTTCCTCTTTCTCTCTCATCTTCTTCGCTCTACGAGCAACCACCTGTTATTTCCACCATACTTTTATAAGAACAAAAAGTATAAAAAAATGAATTTCTCCCTTGCCCCCTTCTTTTTTTTTAAACAAAACAAAATCTGATTGTTTCTCGGTTATATATAATTAATTAATACTAGACATTCAAAGACTTCAACTTCGTGATTAAACAAACGTAATCTATTTTTCATAGCTCGAAAAATGTACGTGATTAAGTACTTAAATATGTATATATGTATATATGTATATTTTTTTCCTCTTTTCACAGAATGAAAGATTTAATTTTATGATTATGATAATGACTGTATATTCAAAAGATATTAAATAATAGTCTCCGAGAACGTAGCGTTAAATCTAGATTTCTCACGTATTATCATGCTAATGTTTGTATTTATATAAATACTTATACATGTACATATGTACATATGTGTTTTATAATATATACTTTTGTGTGTATAAAAGTTCAAGCTACGTGCCTCAACTCTCCAACGACTAAAATATTTCTATCCTAAGTTGCAATGAGTTTCTGTCTCTTTCTTGAAAGTATTTATAATATTTCTTTCCAGAATAATAACGCGAATGAGAGAGACACAACATTTCCTACTTACAATTAGGATAAGCATTGCTTTCGTAAAAAGTTTTCCATACTTTTTGATAAAACTAACGAAAGTACGGAATAAATGATTAATCCAAATTTTATTCTCCATTGATAAAATTTTTCATCGTGTCTAGACAAATATTACATATACAATATTCGTACCTATATTATCAATTTAAAACAATCAATATTTTTTTGTTATGCAATATTTAATAAGTCTTATACATTAAATTAGAACTATTCAACTTTTAAATGATTGCAAAAGAACATTTTATTGTGAGAAAAGTAAAATTTGACATAACTGATAAGAACATTAATCTCAGAACATATGCCAAGTCCTTTCAAAAGAATTATAATATGCAAATGAGTACCAAACAAGTACTAAAAACAAAAAATAATAATTGTATTTTTATTATATATTACACAAATATACTTTTCAGAGTAATAATAAATTATTCTATTACAATAATATAAATATATCATATGTATAATAGTATAGGCAGGTATAGAAATGAAATTAAGAATTGACAATAGGAGTACGAATACTCCAGTGATTCACTTTGTATATGTAATATATTTAATTAAAATATAGAGTATGCACTTACTTTTATAAGATCAGTATGAAAACTCCGTAAAATTGCTAACCTAATTCCCAATGAATTGCTACGGATGTTGCCTCTATCATCGTTCAAACGTTACTGAGTTTTTTTTGTAAACATTCGGTTACCTTTCATACGTTACTTCTTCGAATTATTAATAATAAACCATTTTCCTTAAAAGGACAGACCGTTTGTATACATGTAGTAAGAATGTTAATAGTTAAATATTTTCAGCATTATATATTAAAGTGTATTTCTCGTCGGGTAATGAATTTTCGAAATGATCTTCTCATCGAAGAAAGAAATTTTAATATTTCAGATACATGTGCGTGTGCTTGTATATATATATATGTATGTGTATGCATGTTAAATACAAAAATTTATTAATGAAATAAGCATATGTATAGTATGATCATTAAAATGTTAATATAGAATTTAAAGGATAGAATTTTTTTTAATATTTTAAACATGCATGTATATATGTTATATGTGTCAGCATTAAATTGTAATCTTCAGTTAATTAGTAGAAATTCTAGATCTTACAAAGTAGTTACATATATCATTAAGCGAAGTATTGCCAAGTTCCTATTAATAATTTAAAAGTTTGACTTCCGATTATAACGAAAACGAGACAGATCACACGAACATAAAAGAGAGAGAGAGAGAGAGAGAGAGAGAGAGAGAGAGAGAGAGCATCTGATTTCAACAGTTGAAGCTCATTTCATCGTTCATTCCTGGTGATAACTATATTAGCACAAAACCGATGTCCGTTCGCCATTAACGTCTGCTCGTTGCGATCTGGAAGAGGAATCTTCCAATCAGAAACTAAACAAGCAATATCGAACCGAAGCTATTTCCTACAAAGCCGACGTGATCCTATAGGCATCAATATATTTTCCGTAATATATATATATATATATATATATATATATGTTTATATTCACTTTATTGAACGTTCCATTAACTAGGATTATTATAATACTGTTAAGCCATAGAAAGGCAGAGAAATAAAGAGAGGGAGAGAGAGAGAGAGAGAGAGAGAGAGAAAGAGAGTTAACTATATTTGAAAGGAAGTTACCAGCTCAAATATCTCGTTACACTCTACGTATATTTCAATAGCGTATTTGTTGAAAGAATTTCAAGAGAGAAAGAGAGAGAGAGAGAGAGAGAGAGAGAAGAAAATGAATTTTCAATATTTGAGATTATCTTGGAAATGTCAGTTAATCAATAGAAATATTAATTTAGAACAAATAACACGATTAATGCTAATGATAACCTTAGAATTGTGTTCATTCGTCTAAAGATTTCGATCAAGCAGTAAGTTTACTTCTAACGCAACTTCCACGCAATTACGAAGCCCTCATATAAAACCCACGCATGCAATCGCGCCTTTAACAAATGTGTTACTAACCCTTGATATAGCTACGGCAATATCCTGACATAAATTAACGTGGAATGAGAGTGTAAGATTTGCCAGATTTCTTGGACACATAAATTAGATATTTTCTCGAATCGATCTATCCTCTTTCCTTCTTACATAAAGATGATGTCACTCGTTCGAAGCTCATTCAAATAAATTTCCGAAGCTACGAAAGAAGATAAGTGAGTCGATTTTTCAAAGAACCGAGATACTATCGTATACCATCGAACGTCGTAGTTTTACGAGCCTTACCAAGTTGTCCAATGGCACTATATATTATGTATAATTTTCGTTTACTTTTGGATACGTTCTAACCTCATCTATATGTATATCGAGGGTTTCATTTTTATCACGTCGAACGGTGTCAGGATAATTTTAGGAACTAAAACTAAGAAAACAAAAAATATTTTATTCAAATAGAATCATAAATATTTGTTAATAACGATAAATTTTCAATCCTATTTTAATATAACGTTGTTTCTTATTTTTTTTTTTTAATTATAGAATATGTTAACACATTTCGACAAAATAAAAGTGAAACACCCTATATGTGGTATAGTTCATCTATCTTTCCCTTCTCTATTCGATCAAAACACGTCCCTTCTTATCTTGAAATCCTGCGATCCCTTTAGGCAATTCGACGCGGTCCGTTACTTTATCCATTTTCAAACCATCTTTTGACCGCACAAGTAACTTCGAATGAAAGAGAAAGCATGGGAAAGCTTTTTTGATGCTTCTAGCAAGTTTATTGCTCGCAAAAAAAAAAAAAAGAAAAAAATGTTCTCATCCATGAAGAAAAGCCAACGCGTAAGATATTCGATTCGAACGATTTATTTGAAAAATGTTTTAAGAGAATGTGAGTTCCATTTTTATTTTTATTTTTTTTTGTTTTTTTTTTGTCAAATCGTTAACCGCATCGCCTGATTTCCGTCCATTTATTTCAGCATCGAGAAAAACATACGAATATTTTTTAAAAATACACGAGAAAAAAAAAGATATAGGAAAAAAGTTACCTTAGGGAATGGGTTCACCGATCTGAAAAGTTAACTACGGTAGTGCTATTTAAAAAACGTGACTCTATTAATTCGATATTAAAAGCTTTATTAAAATTTAACGGGAAGACATTGTAAAAGATGCCTTCTTCGATTAACAGCTCGTTATAAGAATTTCAAAGTTTTTAAAGGAATTTAATAACAACGCGTAAAAGAGCAAAAAAAAAGTAATAAAACAAATCCGATCTTGGAATACCATATAGAAAAAATATGTTAACAAGATAGATCATAGTTTTTAAAAGTAAAGAAATGTCTCGATCGCATCACTTTTAATCCAAACTTTTGAATTTGTCTTGAAATGTTTGAAATCGTCGGAATGAAATAAAAGGACAAGATTAGATAAGTTACGAATGAAGGACGAACGAAACTGACCTAAAATTTGACAGCAATGAACGAAGTTATCGATGCGGCAACTAGTTCTCAAAGTATGAAAGATTCTTAGGTAAAGATCTAGTCGTGAGATAGAAAATTCGTGTAATCGTTGTAACGACGGAATCTCTTTAAAAACTGATCAAATTTGATTGGTTTAATCTAAACGTCGAACTTATCAATTAATATGACTTTTCATATAAATTACAATTGACAAGGATTCTCCTTTGGTAGTCAGAAAAAATTCATCATAAATATGAAGACAAGAATGAGAATCGATTATTATAAAGAATAAACAATTGATAAATAAATATCGTGAATTGACTGACCTTTCACGTGTATTGCGACCCTCCTCATCGTCCTCTTCTTCGATGTCGTGTAATCTTGGGCTCAATCGGTGTTGCGTTCCACCTTCTCTTCCGAATTCTTCCTCTTCGGTTCGCAGCTCGCATTCCTTTTCCTCTTCATCATCGAAATCGTCGAGATCTTCATCAAGTTCACCAAGAGGTGCACGATCTTTCGAATCCACCGTGGAAGTCGTTTGTTTCTGTTGAATTTTTTGTTGATCCAGAACTTTTTTCTGTTGGGAAGATTTCTTCTCGTCGGAGTCCTGTTGCTGATATTGTAATTGCTGTTGTTTCAATTGATGTTGTTGAAAGTGTTGATGTTGTTGGTACTGATGTTGTTGCTGCTGCTGATGCTGATGGTGATATTGTTGGTAATGTCTCGACGTCAAGACGACACCTGTCTTGGACTGGGGGGTGGCCCCCGAGACAGAACCGCCACCCCCACCCCCGCCGCCGCCGGCGCACGGCAGGCAGCAAGACCACGTGCCCCCCACCTCGACACCCTAGCACCACTCAGCGTCAAAACATTCAGGGCCGACTTAACCAAGCTTGCTCTCCTCGTTTTGTTGAGGGTCAACGTCTTCCAAATCTCTCTCTCTCTCTCTCTCTCTCTCTCTCTCTCTCTCTCTCTCTCTTTCTTCCTCTATCTTTCTCTCACTGCAATCTTTCGTTTTTCTTTTTCTTTTGCCCTATCTCACCTTATCTGATTTACTGTAGCATCAATTCCTTTTAGCAACGATCGCTGAATACGTTACTCGATATCGCAAGAAAGAGACTCACTTTTATTCTCGAATCGTATTGGTTTATCTGTTATTAGGCGTTCTCGTATTGTACGAATTACGTCTCCGCACGTTTCAAATGCAAAGGTAAGAAATCTAATCTATTCCCAAAGATGTAATAAATTTGTGTCGACCAAGAAAAAAGGTGGAATCTATCATATATTTTTCCACTGTAAAATATTTAGGACTTCTAGCTCGAACAGAGATACGTTTCATAGACAATACTATTATGTACTCTTATTTCTTTCCGAAATTGTCTTTCCGTGATAATAAAAACTTCAAATATATATTCTTCTTTGTGTCCTCGAAACGTGCTGCTCGTCTTCTGTAACTTCTCTTAAATTTAATTTCAATGTTCTCAATTTCTCATAGAATATATCTCTTTTCTAGTTAATGTCACTTTAAATTGAAGAATGCATCCGGTGCGGTATATCGAACTTTATGAAAGAATACCGTGGGGTACTGCTGATTGAATAGTTTGATCGGTAAACTTCGAAAGGGCGTTCTAGTTTCTCTTAAAATGTCTCTTTTTATTTTTCTCTTCTGTTACGAGCTCAAAGAGAGCGGCGGGGGAGAGGAGGAGGGGAAGGTGGGTGGAAAAAGGGGAATAGGGACCTGGCAAATAATTTTTGGCCCTGAATTCACTTTACGAGTTTTATTATCTCCCACCTTATACTATACACGCTCTATTGCGTTGAACACACGAGATATAAGTCGACTGGTTCAACGTGAGCTTCCACCTCCTCTTTGTTAAACTCCCGATATCGCAAACTCGTCTCTCTTTCTCTCTCGTTCTCTCATAGAAAGAGAGAAGGGAGACGGTGAAGTTTCAGGAAGGGGGCGTAGGAGGAAGCAAAAGTCGACGTGGGATTAAAATATGTTATGAAATTGACGGTTTACAACCGCCTTGAATGTTAATATTTTTTAATCATCTTCAGCGATTATTTAGACGAACAATTCACACAGTATCACTTTGACGCGAGAGGCCGCTTCGATATTATCGATATTTATTATCGATTACTTTGAATCAATTCTTCTTAGGCTTTTGTATCGATCATACGCGTCATATTTGATTCTCTCAATTTTATTTTACTTCTTCTTCTTCTTCTTCTTCTTCTTCTTCTTTTTCTTCTTCTTATTGTTAGTCTTCTTTTTCCTTTTTATTTTTTTTCTATTTATTTTTTTTTTTTTTTTTTTTTTTAAATTTTTTTTTTTTTTTTGACCTTTTAACGCACGCTCGATCGCAATAACGTTTCTTTCGGTGACAGAGTTCTATCTATTTTTCTTATCTTTCTACGTGTTTTTTCGTTNTAAATTTGATCGATCTTTTTGACCTTTTAACGCACGCTCGATCGCAATAACGTTTCTTTCGGTGACAGAGTTCTATCTATTTTTCTTATCTTTCTACGTGTTTTTTCGTTTCTCTCGCACAAATCTCTCCTCATTTTGATCACACTAACGTAGATTAATTCTTCATGGTACGTCCTGTGCACAAAAGCACCACCGAGTCTATCAAATAAAGTTAATTTTTCACTAGCTTCGATATTATTCACTTTTATCAGAGTCATCGTGCGTCATCACTACAACACATATCGCCTTGATGTTGGTAGTTGTTGTTGTTGTTGTTGTTGTTACTGTTGTAGCTGTTGTTATTTTTGCTGTTCGACACAAGAGAGCACTTTAGCGTGCGTATAAAAAACAAATAAAAAAGAAAAAGAGAATAAAAAGGAGAAAAAAAAAAAAAGAAGAAAAAAGGAAGAAAAAAATACACTAGCTATGATAAATTTGTGGGCATCGTTGTACGAGCTACTTCGTATTTGTCGAGCACCCGTTAGAGAGCATCGAATTCACTTTCGTACAATTTCGAACGGCGCTATAGTTTTCGATTAAATTCGAGCATCAAACTACTATCGGACGACGAGTCTGCACGCGTATCTCCCCTTTCCTCTTTTCAGTTTTCCCCATTCCTCGTGTAAAAGTCGACACTAACATGTTCTAGAAAAATTACGAAAAATATTTGCTAACAAATTCGTAAAAATTGATTGATCACATTTCATACTAAAATTTCTTAACATATTTCTTCCCTCTCCCTCTCCCTCACCTTTTTTTTCATAGCTTTTATTATTATCTTGTTTATGAAACGAAGAAGTTATTTGGAATACGAATATCTTTGTCGATCGTAAAAAAAATGGAAAAGGTACGCATGCGTACTCGTTGAAAAATATATGTATGTTGCTTATTCTATTCTCGTTCTTTCTCTTTTTTCTTTTTCTTTCGTATGACCGTATTGTTCATTAAAGAATGAATAAGAAAGGGAAATAGTATTTGTTGGAAAAGAAAATTAATGATCAATTTATCGTTGAGGGGAAAAATATCGTTAATCATAACATTTCCTTTTTTTAACGATATAAACAACTTTTTGATCAAACATTTCGATAAATTTCCATACTTAAAAATATGATTGTGTACAAAGTTATATATGAAAATATATTATCTATATAAATAATGATCTTTAAAAATAAATTAAAATAAAAGATTATTAACGTTAAAAGAACATCACGAAAGTTTCTTTAACTTTGAACAGCAAATATATATTTCTAATGTAAAGCTCCTTTTTAGAAATGTTCATTAATTAAAGTCTTTAGAATCTGGAAGGTACTCCTATACAAATATTTTATTAAAGATAATGGTATAACTTTTTGGAAAAAATAAAATAAAAATAATCGATAAAACAAGACCATTATAACGGCGTTATTAAATCTGTGGAATATGTCATAATTGTCATGTGATACGTAATATGAAACATGTTAACGAGAAAATTGAAAAACCCCAATAGTTTCAATTAAACGCAGACATTATTGTTTTTGTAATATTAAGACGAATCGTTGTCTCATGTTTTAGGTATTGACATCAACGTTCTAATTAACCTTTACTCGAGAATTTATTGCCATAAGAACATTAGCGAATACTACTCTGAAATAACTATTATTCTCTTAAGAAACAACGAAATGATAGTAATTAATATTGAACCTTTTACCGACCTTTAACCTTTCGATGCATCTAGTGTGAAATGAACGAATGAAAAATAACGATGAGTAGTTAAACAAAATTTAAATATCGTGTAGGGATTGGAATGTGTTCGAACGAATACCTCCAGAGAATTGGAATTAATGTTAACTCGAGAAATAAAAACAATTACTATCGATTAACGAAGAGCATGCCTCTTGTGACCTTTCGATTACATCCACAGTACTCGAAATTTGTAATACGAGTTACATTCTGTTAGCGAACAATGGTCAAGAGAAAGAGAGAGAAAAAAAAATTATTGAAATAAAAAAAAAGATTAAAAATTTTAAAATATATAAAAAGAAATAGGAAAAGAAAAATCTACGGAATATAAATGGTCGACGTAATCAAGGGCAAACGTTGATTCTCCAAGAGTACGAGAATAGAATTTTTAATTTCACCGCAATCTATAGGAGAGATTTGATTAATCGGTTAAACGTAAATTACTTGGAAAAGTGCAAAACTGCTGCTGTGCCCCATTAAAAAATTTACTTCCTTCATTTAAATTGAAATTTACCAAGATTCTTTCCTATAATCTCTCTCTCTCTTTCTCTCTCTCTCTCTCTCTCTCTCTCTCTCTCTCGCAACGTTTTTTCAATTTTATTAATATAAAGAAGGGGAAAGAAGCTCTCGCAAGATGAAATTACATGAAGGAATTCGAGAGAAGCAAAGATCAAACGTTAAAATAAAAATTTAAAGAAACGAAAAAGAATGAAGAAAAAAAGTTTCGTTATTAAACATTTTGTTATTTTTATTTTCTTTTGGTTCTTTTTTTTTTTGGTTAAAGATTAAACGATTTAAAAAAAATATCAAATCCATAAATTAAATCGATAAAAATATTTTCCTTAGATAAAATAATTGACACTCTTGCATATAATTCCACTCTTACAATTAATTTGTGTTTACGCACGAATTACGAACGAGAGAGATAGAGAAAAAAAAAAAAAGAAAGAAAGAAAGAATATTAGTTCGGGATTGAATAAGCTTTCCTCGTGAGATAAGAAAAATTGATGCTTAGATCGAATCGAAAAAGCAGTATCCTCTTAACCCAAGGGTATTCCTATTTTCCTTAAAATTCGATTAAAGACTTCCGCGTATCGAGTAAATAGGAAATTAGATTATCTCGTTAGTCACCTGTCCTTCTTTTTCAGCCGAAGAGGAAGAGGATGATAAGAGCTAGCTGATTCTTCGAAGACAAAGTGTCTTTGAAAATTTCGTTATTACACACTTTTCGTGAGATCATTTATCTTAAAATAATCACATATTACATAAAGAGTGAGAATAAAAAAGAGAAATAGTGAGATAGAGACAGACTAAATCAATCAAACTCGTAGTTGCCACGTAGATGGTGTCTAATATGATTAACATAAGATAAAAATGAAAAAAATGTTAATCGTAAAAGTTATCTCCAAAGCAATTTCACGATAGGTATTAGTTAACAAAACTGCATCTAATGTAAGTAAGGATGCAAGCAAGCAAGCTTTCGTAGGTCGTACCTCTTGACAGCGGGATAAATACGTATCAGGAAGTTTCAAAACTAATCTGGAGACAGTAGACTATAAGCTCATTCTGTGTTGTTCCAATCTCATAATTAATTAAATATAGTTTGATTAAACCGCTTATCGTCGGCAAGTCATGAACTAACATCTTACCCTAAATAAATCTTACTATTTATCGTATCGATTTTTCAACACCTGTCAATTCATTTTTCTCACTTTTTCTATCTAATTTAATACAATTTTAAGCACACTTTTGTAAACTTTCTTGTTATACTTTACCAAATACTCAAGATTAATCGTATAGAATATCTAGACGTACAATTTTTCCTTAATGAAAAGTAATTTGGAAAGATTGTTTATACGTTCGACCCATTTTGGATCACGTATATATGTATGAAAGATGATCATTCATGATCAAGATAACCGTGCCTTTAACCCTTTTCCCTTTCTTCACTTATGAACTCTAATTTACGTTATTACAGTGGCAGATGGTAATTAATAGCTTTATCCTTTAATAGTTCATCATAATACCTATAATATCATATATAATTATCGATCGAAAACTACGCGCATTTATTAACTGCAACAAAATTATATTTTATAATTAATTTGTATTCTAATAAAAAACAAAAAAGGCACGCATTGTTAGATTATATGACACTCTTTTAGTTTGCATTGTCGAAAAAAGAAATAAAAAAAAAAAAAAACAGGATTCACATATTGATATAATGTGAATCGTGTGTCAAACGTTCTTTTCTTGTTATCTATTTTATGTATTTAATTACTTGCCATCGTTGACGATTTAAAAGGATCACTTTTCTCTCTTTCTCTTTGTTTGATTATATCAAAGACACGCGTAATTAACTCTTTGACGTTACTAATAAATTTTAATCGCTCAGAGCACAAAAAAATGACGTGTTTTTGTAATATAAAAATAGAAAATTGTGTTTATGATACGTATTTTTTAAGTAAATCTTTATATAACACGATTTTTAGATTCCTAAAAATATCCCGTGTTATACGAACTCGTGTGTTAAACTAAACAAAGAATTATTACAAAAAATAATGTTCAGTTTTAAAAATTAACAAAATTGTATTATTTTACTTTTATAAGTAATTGTATGTTTATTAAAAAAGACTTAATCAATATTCGATCAATAATACGTATTTTGTATTCACGTGCAAACCCATATTTACCTATGCCCTACAATCAAAAACACAACAGTATACAAAAAATTATAATATATTTATTTTTAATACATAAAAAATATATTTATGTATTAAAATATACATACATTTAATATCCCACGAATAAAATGAATTGAAAATTTGAATATTTCCAAATGTCGCATACAAATATAGTACAATGAACACGATCTAATGCAAAATAAAAAATGAGATGGTGCCTATATTTAAAAACTTTAATTACGTCTCGTGTTGTATAGGGATTTTCTCGAATCTCAAAACGCGTTAAAGTGAAACTGTATTATTGAAATATCATGTTCTATAGGGATTTCTTACAACTCTCAAACCTTATTAGAACGAAACCGTGTTAAACGTGAGATTAATCGTATATTTTTTATTCCATTAAAAAAATATCTGTTTTTTCAAAAACGAAGACAATTTTAACGCAGTACGAATTAAAAAAAAAATATTGCAATCGGGTGAAACATTTCAATAATAACCGGAGAATTAATCATTTCGTCTTCTTCTTCTTCTTCTACTTCTACTTTTACTTCTTCTAGTTCTTCTTCTACACTCTCCATTTTCTCCTTCTTCTTTTTCTTATTCTTAAGCTCTTCTTCTCGAAGCATCATCAAGTGGAAAGTATTTCCGTTCTAACGACGAGCTTTAAGTACTTGCACGTAAGTAGCCTGACGATGAGTTACCCGAAAAATACGTGACTATCTCTTTCTTTCTATTTTTCTCGAATTGAATCGAACAATCGATTGATACGAGTTCAACAAAAAAAGAAAAAAAAAAAATCTAAATAAAACGGGGAGAAAAATGTATTTTTAAATTTACATAAAAAATTGTAACATTGATAATTGTAAAAAATGTTGACCTCGTGATAAATGACTATATTTATTTTTATTTATTTTCTATAAAATTCAATCGAACAATTGCATTGTGTGACGAGTACAAAAAACAATATTATTTTTATACAAATTATGTAATTTCTAATAATTATATGTAATAACTGTGACTTTATATAAAATACGCTTTATATTTTTCTTTCTATTTCGCTCGAATTGAATCGAACAATCGATCGAAAGACGAGAACAAAAAGAAAATACAAGAAGTACTTTTATTATAAAAAAAAAAAAAAAAAAAAAAACAAATTTCATTTATGATAATAACTTATAAAAATTGTAACCTTATGCATGCAATTAACCTTAGCATCAAAGAAACCCAATGTTCCTTCTTATTATAAAGGTACAAGATGTTCGTTCTTTATAATCTACTTTATCTTTCCTTTTTTCATGGTATAATTGCTTTCGTTTCATGATATAGCTCCCGGCAGTTTAAAATGGCAACAGAATTATCCAATAGTTCTCGAGTTTTATCTATCTTTTACGGGCTTAATCGATCGAAGAAAGTATCGATATCTCAGTAAAAGGTAAGAATTATGAAAATCGTTATGAATTTAGATGGATCTACATAGGTCTCTATGTGAAATTAATTTGAATTGATCGTTACCTATTTCATAAGGAATAATCTGATCAATCATTTAACTTTTGAATCGATTTATTATTCATCGATAGGGTATAACTTGCGTATTATTTCATCGACGAATGAAAAATGTTCGTTCAACGATAAAATATTTAACGGGTATAACGCGTGATGTTACTTTCACTTTTTTATATCGAACTTATATTTTTTTTAGCTGAATTAATACCAACCTGGTCAGCATAAATTACAACGAGAAACTACATCCGGTCAACGGCCTATATTATGCTACTTTCAATACGCTAGAGCTTTGTGTATGGGTACGTACACACAAATATATCTACACATCCGCGAAACGTATTAAATTTAAATTCGAATCTAAATTCCAATAACATTTACGATACGGATTTTTCAATAGTAATGGAGAAAGAAACGAGATTATTCAATTTTTCAAACACGATTTAAATAATCTTTTGTTATACCACGAATAATAGCGTTATTTTAAATATTATTCCATGCCCAAGCGAACATTTTATATTCACTAATTAATGATACCACTTTAATAACAGTACGTATATGTATATGGAGTAATACGCAGATAAAATTAATTCTAAAATAATCGAATATATATTTTTAATCCGAGAAATAAAATATTATACGATAATAAAATTGAAACTTTTGACATTTATAATATAAATGCGTTGTCGGGTATTACGATATTAAAAAGTTCGTGATCTAATACGACAAGGTAATCCTTGAATACTGAGAAAGTTTCTCAACCATCGAATTTGAAGTAATAATTTTGTCTATGATCAAATTGATCGACATTTTTATTATTTATTGACTATAGAAATAAACGTATATCAAACTGACGAAAAAGGAATTTACTGATTTTGTTACATATATTTATAAAGTTCGATATTCGTGACATATATCAAAGATAAATAAGTTATCGTTGGTCAACAACGTTGAAAAGAAAAATAGTTAAAAATGAATCGAACTAGATACGACAGAGAAAAATTAATTTGTTGATACATGTCGTTCAAATATAAAAAAGGGGAAAAAAAATAGAGAGAGAGAGAGAGAGAGAGAGAGAGAGAGAGAGAGAAACAGATCGGAAAGACCAAATAACATTTTCAACGGTAGCGTTTCAATTATAATCCATCTTTTTCAAGTCACGTCGAATGATGGAGACTTCTCTTCGACAAAACACCCTATATATGATACGTGTTCACACGAGAGATTGGTCGAATGTGGTGAGAGTAAAAAATTAAATTGCCGGTCATTCATCCTGACACAAATAGTTTTCGTTCGTCAAAGAAAGTATACGCGATAGGTGCGATATCGTATTTTTATAAAAAAAAAAAAAAAACAAACAAACAAAATATAAAGTTAATTTTTTGTTGTCTCTATCTAAGTTCAATTTAATATTTATCTAGGTGTAATTAATATATAATAGTGATATATCGATCGTAGATCTTTCTTCTCGACGATAAAAAAATCACTTATTACGAGATTATATAATTACTTACTTAAGTGCACAATATCGAAATACGTAAGTTGAGAGCAAACTGATATTCGGTATCGAATAGCATATTTTAAATGATTCTACACGCGAATACGAGTAAATTAAAAATAAATGATAATAGTTAAACGAAATCGTGACAGTAAGACGCGACCGCCGTTATTCTTGCCAAACTCTCCTTTTACCATTTCCCTTCGGGAAACTAAAGTTCCAAAGTGTGTCGTCAAACTACTCCCCGGAAATATCGTCATTGTCTTCGTCTTCGTCTTCGTCTTCGTCGTTGTTTTAATTGTTGGTAGTCGTATGCGACCTCGACGTTGAACTACCACTACCCCGGATGTCATCGTTGAATCTTAAAATAAAGTACTTTTTCTTAAGGAACATCGACGATAAGACACGTATCTTCGTGATTATACGAGAAAAAAATTCACTCGATTGGCTAATCTAACGAAAATGTCGAATAAGATAGATTTGAAAATGATTCTCATTCTCTGGTATCTTTCTGGAGATAATCTTAAATATTATTTCGAAGAAGAGTAAGCTTGAAAATAAAGTTTTCTACAAACTAGATAATGCTTCGGTGAAGGATCGTTAAAACTATTAAAACGTCTGACGCGTTGTGTTAAAATCTCAGCTTTAACATTTGCAAGAGAAACTGAAACTTGGGAACAAGTTTAAATCTCACGATATTTAACAAATAACTTGTATTAATTAAAAGCGTTACGAAAAGATGTGTCGATGAATCTGTAATACTTGTAAGTAGTAAAACATGAAAAGAGTTTGACGAGAGAATCTGTCTGACCGGTCACGTTCCTTACCTACTTACTGAAACATTTAAACGATCGAGAAGTATAGGGAATAAATTAGTTTAACAACAGGTAGCGAACGGTTTTACATAGGACTACACATGTAAATATTCTGAGATTCAGACACGTATGTTATGTATATACATATATATATATATATATACATTCCTGCATTAAAGCACTCTCGGTCGGACAAACAAACTCTGCCTCCTTTTGTACATACACGGTACGAATCGTTCTTTGTTTACACGATCGTTGCAATCATACGGACGACCAACGCGAATTACCCCCATGACTTTCAACGTTTCTCATTTTATATTTGTATTCGTGAAGAATCGTCGCGTTAAATATTCCTGAGGGAGAATAATAGCTCGCTCTCGATTTACGTTTGAACGACGGTGGGAAAAAAAAAGAAAAATTTCAAAATAACAGAAATATAGAGACAAAGAGAGACAGAGATGCAAGAAAAAACGGCATAAAAATAATATATAAAAAAGACAAAGATAGAAAGAGAAAGAGATAAGTATCGATGATTACTTGTTCCAAGGAGATCAAAATCAAAAGAAGGATATACAGCATCCGACGAAATATCTTTCACGCAACGATGTGTTTAGTCCTCGATAGATGAAAACATTTTTTTTTTCAAACACGAGTATCGCACTCACGTCGAAACGTTGGCGCATAAATTAAACTAGATCATCGTAAAAACGTCGCATGCGGCTGTCTCGTCGACATGCGAATAAGGTTTTCATGAATCTCGTCACTTTTTATCGAAGACTTTTTTTCTTCTTCTTCTTCTTCTTCTTCCTCTTCTTCTTCTTCTTCTTCTTCTTCCTCTTCTTCTTCTTCTTCTTCTTCCTCTTCTTCTTCTTCTTCTTCTTCTTCCTCGAGGATCTTTTCCCACGAGCGTACGAGTTTCTCAAAGTTTCGCATTTTCCCGTTACACTCACGACAACGACGATTACGTGTCAATAACGAAAACGAAACGAAACGAAACGCGAGAAGCCGCATAAACGACAAAACGTTTTTCCGGCATATTCTGTTTTTTTAATTTGTCTCTCATCACCGTTGACAATTAACACCAGTCAATAAAATTCCAAAACACGCACACATTATCTCCCATTTTCTTTCTCTAATCATTATATTATTTTTCGATTAATTTGATAAAGACGAGATATATCGCGGACAAAATATACGCGAACGAATTAAATCGACGAATATAAGAGAAAGAAAGAAAGAAAGAAAGATAGAAAGAAAGAAAAAGAAAAAAAGAAGAAAAAAAAAAGCTACACTTATAGTATCTCCCCCACTTTTTTTTTTTCTTTCTTCCACGCGGGAAAACTATTTCTCCCCTTTCACTTTCCAACCACCGACGACGATTACGACGTTGACGTCGACGTGAACGATGACAGTGACGAGAACAACAACAACAACAACAACAACAACAACAACAACAACAACAACAACAATGACGACGACGATGACGACGACGACGATGACGGCGACGACGATGACGACGATAAGCAACTCGTACACCGTCGTATTGACGTTGACGACGGCCGAGACCCGACTAACGGAACGATTCTCTCCTCTCTTTCTACCACCGACGCTGTAGTAGCACAGTGTCGTAGCATTCGACGGAAAATCACTGAATTTTCCATCCTCCAGAAAGAGAAGAGAAGTAACCCTTGATAGGGGCCAATTTTATCCGTCACTGTCTTTTCTTTCACTTTTTTCTCTCTCTCTCTCTCTCTCTCTCTCAATCTTTCTATCTGTCCTTCTTTCTTTATTTCTTTTTTTCTTTCTTTCTTTCTTTCCTATTGTGACATACCAACTATTACAAGGGTGAATGCGATAAGAAAAAAAGAAAGAGAATTAAACGCATAGATAGAAGAGGGAAGAAGAATAGAATAGAAATGGGATGAAAGACAGAAAGGGTAGGAAAAAATTGCCGTTTCGTTATCGTTGCTTTTGCTGGTGCTGATGCTGATGCTGCTACTACTGCTGCTACCACTGCCGTTGCTGTTAGCACTCTGCTAGTACACTATACTCCGTAACTTGGTCCACCAACCGGCGGCTCAGCAGCCCCGGCTGTTTTGCAAAAATTAGGTCAACCGTATACCTTCCCCTCCATCCTATCCTATCGTCTCCTCTCCACTCCTCTCCTCTCCTCTCCTCTCTCTCTCTCTCTCTCCCTCTTTCTCTTCCATACTCGATCGTCTCCCTCCTTCTTCTCAACCCCACTCGTTCGTGCTTAACGCTCTCAATGCATCCTCTTCCCTTCTCGTATTCTCCTCCAATCACTTTTCTTTTTATTTTTTTTTTATTTTTCTTTTTCATTTTTTTTTTTTTCTTTCGCGTACGCGAGTTATCTTTGCATTTTTATCCTGTTTCCCTTATTCTTAAAGACCGTTTCCCGTCATATCGAAATCCCATGAATGGCCATCAACTTAAATATACTACGACGAACTTTCTCATACACACATGTTTTTCTTCCTATCCTTCTTCTCTCTTTTATTTTTCATTCCCTGTTACGTTCGCTCTTTCACTTTTATTATTTATATATTTTTCCTTTTCCAATTTATTTTAATTCAATCGAGCAACCCCTCGTCGAAAAATCACGAATTTCTTCGCCGAGAAATTCACGTCTTGCGTTTGAAAAAAAAAAAAAAAAAAAAAGAAATTTAATTGAACAAATTTTTTATAAACGCGAAGATATTTTTTTCGCGATGAAAGTTGGAAGAAAAAAGACTTGTGATATCCTACCATCTCGCGCGTCAATAAGTAGAATATAAAATATAATAAAAATAATGGATCTTATTTAACAGTAATTGTAAATGTTATAACGATTGATCAATTTTCAATATTCTATTGAAAATTTTACGCTCGATGTAATTGCTTTTATTTATTTATTTATACAATAATACTTATAATTACAAAATATCATTTTATCTATAAAATGATTTAATTTATTATATAAACTGAGGAACAAATTGATGATTGTCATTCGGATATAACAAATTTTCTCTTTCATCGGGTAACTAGAAAAAAAAAAAAAAGAAAAGGGCAAATAAAGAAAGGTGTTCCACAATATTCAGTTGACAAATTTTCACTATACGCGTACTTGTTGCATGTAGTGTAGAACGCAGTCCGTCAGCACTTCGCGACATTTCAAGAGAATTTCCTTCCTAAGGTTTTCTCATTTTCTCTTGTTTTAATTCTCGTCTTTTAGAAGCTTTTTCTTTTCCTTTGTAAAGAACCTCTCTGCTTGTTCCGCACACGCGAGACTTTAAAACTAACGCGACTCTGTAAGCTAGCTATTTTCTTTGGAAACCGTAAAGTCCGATTAAATAAAGTTTCTAATTACAATCCCGAATAAGATTGTGAATGGTGAACTATGTAGGATGGTATTATAAACGGTTTTATTTGTCCACTTTTATTTCTCATATTATTTTTTTTTTTGCTTCTAATATAATTGCAACGTCATTTCAATATAATTTCATCTCGGAGATTTATTACTTCAACAAATCATACAACGTCCGCTCCTAATTACGAGATTAGATCTACGTTACTACTACTATTACTACTATTACTACTATTACTACTACTACTACTACTACTACTACTACTTCTACAGTTTCAAAGTAATCGTAATTGTCTACAATCTGATATTGACGTAATTTAATTAAAAGAATAAATCGATCGGGTTTGCGAGAAAGAAATTTAGATGATACAGATACAGGGAATGAATGATCTAATTAAAGCATCGTGAATAACGGGTTGCTCAATACGTATAATTAACTTATATTAGTGTTAAATTTAAATCACAGACCAAACGAATTTAGAACGCATAATGTGATAATATACTGTCCTATTAAATAACGAGTTTTATTCGTTATAACAGGAGCACCAATTTATTACAATACAATTAACAAATTTATGGGATATAAAAGAAGAGTGTTTTGGTTGTGACGCAACAAGATTTTCCTTGAAATAGCATGGCTACGCCTTCATGATTATGATATAAAAATAAACATTGTTAAACGTTCTCCTTTGATGAATTGTTAACGAGTATATCGTGAACATTTATAATATACAGTTCCCATGGTACAGTTTGTTCGTTTGAACTTACATTAGTAAGATCTAGTCCGTTTCTTTTTTTAGGATACTATAGCGAACACGTATTCTTTTAAAAAGAATAGTAAACCGAGTCCCTAATACTAGGTAGGTATCCACTGGGAAAGGATGAAATTCGTTTTCTCTTTGTTTTTAGATTCCACTCTAACCCATTCTTTCTACGTGCTATTTTCTTCGTGAACTTTTTGCAATGGAAGTGAATTTCTTCATTATATTTAGTCTCTAATGTAAAATAGAGATCATAACGTGATAACAATCTTTAATATTCAGTAATTTTAAATAAAAAAAAACATATACATTAATGTTAATGTTAATTTAAAAAATGGGATAGAGATTTGCAAACGGGAAAAATTAAAAATTGAAAATCTTCGTTAAAATGTCATAATGTGAGTAATAAATTGAATTATAAAAATAAAATTAAGAAAATTACTACCAATGATACAATCAAATATCACGATCATCCGTAATAAATTTTCTATTGAAATAATATATAGCATTTGACTCCCTCGACGATTTGCCGATATCGATAAGCTCAATTCTCCTATCGACATTATAAACCGTATACGTAATATGAAAAACAAACCTTATTCGTTTATAATTCAACAACGAGGGAATAAGACATTATTTTTTTTCCTTTTTACCTCTTACGATGGAAAACATCAAGAAATGATACATAAAAATATCAACCCGTAATAAGAACGAAACCAATGTTTTTACTTTTCTTTTCCTTTAGGAAAGATAAACCAAAATTTATAGAAAAACGAAAGAAAATGTGTTTGGTACGTGAATCGATACTTTTTCATGAAATCCCATGGGGAATTGAAATCGAAAGAAAAACAAATGTGAAGGAAGACAGAAACAGAAAAAAACAAGGAGATGCAGACAGACAGACAGACAAACAAACGAAGTAAGAGAGAGAGAGAGAAAGAGAGAGAAAGTGAAAAAGAAAGGGGAAGAAAGAAAGAAAAAGTTAGAATAAAAATAAATAAAGAAAAATAGTTAAACAATGACCAATATAATCGAAGACATTTTTCTCGTTGATTTAAAGTTAGCTGGTACGACGACAATGTAGCTCAGGTAGATTAGAAAATAGACAATAATTTACTGATGTACGCGAATAACCATGTCTATTCTGTAAAGAGAAACTCTATTAGGATTACGTGCTTCTGCATTAACCCAAAAAATTGTATGATCGAGTAAACGTGAATTTGAATCACGTGATCGACGATGTACCTACTCCATGTAAAAATCATTAAACGGAAGGCATTTTCTATTCTTCCATAATAAATAGACCTGACAAAGTGATAGTAAAAAAAAAGAAAAAAGAAAAAAAAATAAAAGCGCGAAAATAATTTATCAGTAGCCGACACGAAGGACCGCTGAGAAACGGATGAAAAATGTTCTTTTCCAAGATAGAATTATGCGCGCGATAAATTAAGAAATATCTCATGTATAACCCCTATAGTGTAATTTTACAGAATGTATTGTATATTAGTATAACTACATACATTAATAAATAAGAAAATTTTGATAAGACAGAGAAACGTATAAAAAGAAAACGTGTACGGATATACATACGTAAGCACTTATGTATAATATATGTAGATACATTTATATACGCTCCGTAGTTACGTTTTCTTGCAAGGAGACACACCAGTCCAATATATATTTATATTTCATGATTCGTTATTGAACACGCACGCAGAATATGTGTCTAGAACGTAAACGCAACTATACCACCCATTCGTGTATATAGAAGATCAATATAAAACGAACGTATTGTTCGAAAATTGGTGAGTATCGTCTAGTACCTACGTATATACGCACATATACTTATATACGTTGTAACCAACAACAAAGCCTTTATATATAGCCTCCACCTGTAACCTAGGACAAAGGATTATCGAAACACGAAATTGAATCAGTTTGTGTAATATGGTTCAATATGATCAAGCTTCGTACCATATCACGAGATTACACATTTACTAATATATAAATAATACAAATCATTTCGTCATCCATTCCGCTTTTATTCAAATCAATATATGTATATATACGTTAATAAAAAATCATCGATAGATATCCAATCCTTATTGACTTTACAAACAATTTTGAAAAAGAGTCAAAAATATAGAATAGCGAGAAAAAAAAGTAGA